CTAGGTGCTCACTATGACCGTCTCCTCTCCAGGACTTTATAGGCTTCTCCTGTTGAGAGCCCGATGGATCTCGTCCTGGATTGGTCGCTTCGCGCGATATCCCGCCTGAAACCTTCCTCTTCTCATTCGCTCCCCCCGAGCCTACCCCACCCCCCTTTCTCACCAGCACGAAACGGGGGAAAATGGCTTCCCACTTCTGGAGACATTTTATGCTTTCTATTGGACCTGCGCTTTAGAGTAAACTCATTTCACTGGTCATCTAAAAGTTAAAACCTGTGCGAAAACCCCCCCTGATAATTAGTTAATCTCCTTGCAGAATCCCACATAGTTACTGTAAAAAGTCATATCATATAATCAGCAGGGATCATAGCAGCGCCAGTTCGCTTCCAGTTCCTCCAAACGCCAAAACGAGATAGCGAAAAATATATACAGGTATAAGGTAATGGATAAACAAACCGGGTTCAGAGGGCTGATTCCTCATCTCCTTCCTTAACAAATCACTACCTCCCGTATGAAAACGTGAAGAAATTTCCTCCGCCACTCCACATCCCTTCAAAACCCTCCCGCTCCCTGAACTCTTTTGATCACCCCAACGATCCCCTTCATCCAACTAAACCTGCCAGGGTCAACTCCAATAGAGCCTTCTGCCATTTCGCCTGTCACCGGATCATGCCAACATCCGTCTTGTGGATTAACCGCCCCGTATGTAGCCGTGTTCTGGTTTCTGCGGAGGCCCTCGAGCCAGGTCTGGCATACCTCTGTGGAGTCAAGAAGAACATTCGCCTCTTGCGAATGGTAGAAGGATTGAGTATCGAGATTCCCACTTCCTATAATGGCCGTTAACAAAAAAATGACAGTTCAATGTTAACTTCGGATCCCCGTGGGTTCCCACCTTGAATTGCAATGTGCTCGTCAACAATCATCAGCTTTATATGACAGCTTCGCTGTTTGAATTTGTTATTGATAGGTCTCGTCTGGTCCTTCGCTACATAGTTGTATATCCGAAGCCGTGACTTTTCTTCTTCTGAGCTGAGAGAGTTGTAAAGTCGATTTGATATCATCTCGTTGGTACCATTTTGAAAGGGAAGTAGCTGTCCTGCATCATTATATCCAAGCGAGAGATAACAAGTCACCTCGACTCCACGGCGAACAGCTTCGAGGATGGGATCGAGCAAGTATTCCGCATTCAGATTCGGTGTTTGAATGAAAATGGTCCTTCGAGCGTTGCGGATAGCTGAAAGAAAAGCAACGTTTTGAGGTGTGTAGACACTAGAACGATTCAAAGCTGATAGCTTATTAGCTACGCGCAGCACAGACTCTATTTCATTTTTTTTTTTTTTTTTTTTTTTTTTTTTTTTTTTTTTTTTCCCTAAGACCTACCAGGACATGGCTCTCGACATACCAATGCCATTGGAAATGGTTTATGCGGCGAATGTAAGATGTAAGGTATCATATCATCCTCATCAGGCCATTCAGGGGTATCGCCTAATACATTGGGACGCTTGATAATATCTACGTATGGGTCAGCAAGGCGAACGAACAAATTTGGGACACACAAAAAAGCGGCTGTACAAACTCAAGGGTCGGGCGATAGCTTCCACTTTGTTTTCAAAACCTCGACGCCTAAGGCGAGCTTGGATGCCTGCGGCTTCTGCCACGATATCAGGGAGATACTCTTCACAGTCTCGGGAGAGGTTATCGTTGCGCTCCAACATCCCCGCTTGGCTGCTTCAGGAAAAAATAAGTTAAGACTAATTCCAACCACAATTCGGATGGCATCAAGTGACTTCACCTCTCTGTTGACATTGCGCCGGTAATTCTCTCAGGGCCTGTCCGAGAGATATGGTCGGCAAAGCTGGGTGGTTTATCCGATGCCGCCGGCGAATTGATCATCGGAAGCATGGGTCTCATCTTAGTATTCCACGAGATGATTGCCATATCGTAGAGAGAATCGACGATGGGGCCTTCCAATCGCACCAGCATTTCCAAATTATCGTTATCCTAGAGAGCAAGTCAGAGACCGCAGCTGTAATACCAGCAAAGATTTCCAATTTCCAAGTTCAATCATAGAAAATCAACGAGCAATAACGGGCAGCCGCGCTAACCTGTATGTTGTTGCTTTGCAGCAGAGCCAATCTCCTATCCACAATCATGAATTTCGAGTGAAATGTGCCAAGCACTGGGTCGTGGTAGTTCATGACTTCAAGGTCAAGATTGGGGATGTGTTCCGGCGGAGGCAATTGCACATGCACATCTGTCGCTACTTTCGGATAGACAAACAGACGACTTTTAAAAATCTATTGTAGCTGGTTAGTTGGTGCACGCAAAAAAGTCTTCTCAAACCGGACTTCAACAACAGTGCTGACAGACTTGTTTGAGTTGTGCACGATCATACATGATCTTCACTACTACTTTGGTTCCGCGTTTCCCAGCACGTACTGATATCTCCCGCAAGGCATCTGTTATGATAGTTGAGCAACGGGAGAATATCCAGTAATTGGTGGCCAGGAACACCTCTTTTTCTGCCCGAACGATGCAATTTGCCATATGACGGCAGATGTCGGGGGTCGGAGCGATGATGGTCAACGGCACAACACCGGAGCTCCCCAGCAATGCAGGCGAAGTCAGCCCGGCCATCGGATTGCGGTCAAGAGTACAGACTACATCATGGTATATCTAGTTGCAAAAAAAAAAAAAAAAAAAAAAAAAAAATTGCGCATTAGTACAATAGGTGTAAATCCTATAATAGTATCTTACCTGAAGGAAGATGTCACTGGGTCTTTGGTCACCCCATTTCCCACACAGATACGCCTGCTGCAAGTCAAGATGTTTATTTCTCTTCCCCTGGTGGCCGCCATCGCATCTGTCACAGAGACTGTTCTGGGGCCTGAACAACCGGTCGATTATATCGCGGGGAGCGCTGTCGGGGTCATTGGCCAATTCCGATGTCACGGTCGAGCCATCGCGGCACAGCTCGTATATCCACTCGGGGAACATGTCGCTGAGGGCCAAGTTCCGACTGACGGGGCGAGCGAGAAAGATGAGAACGGCGGAGAAGCACAGGCACGCGGCAAACCCCGCTGCAACAAGCTTCAACGGCACAATCTGGGATAGGGATCGACCTGAGGGAGATGGAATTGGAGAGCAGAAAGAAAACAAACGAGATGTCATGTTGGCGGAATTTGGGGGGATGGGGATGATGGAAGGTGCCGAAGAGAAGGCGATGGCGGAAGGCGAGAGGAACGGCATATCACACCCCTGCGGAGAATTCCCAAGGCTGGGGGAAGCCATGGGGACTGCGCCACTTCAGTATTTCTGCTGGGTGCAGAACTTGAATTGCCAGGTATTCTTGTGCTGTCTGGAGTTGGTCAGGTAACTGTTTGATCCGGGTCAAATGCAGGAAAGCGGCCTCTTCGGTGAAACGTCATTCTTCGTCATCTTGCAGTCCCAACTGAAAACAACCCTGGCAAAGGCTCGTACATTAATAACCCCAAATAAGTGATGAATTGAAGGAATTTCTGCTGTTGAGGAAGTTTAGTATGCGAACTTCGATGAGATCCAGGTCCCTTTTTTATGAGTGGGGACGGTCACCGGTAACTAGTTGTATAGATGTAGAGCACGAAGAGAGAATGAATCATTTCAGTCAACTAAATTCAGCACCGGAGAGAGTATGAACGAGAAACGCTTTCCAAGGGAGTATCGTGTTACAGCTCAGAGAGATGTGTGCTCCATTTAACTAAATACACTCATACCCTATTTATTGATTTGTGTCGAAAAGAAGGAAACACTTGATGTAGTGGAATACGGACATGAATTCGTGTGTTGGCAGGGAAAGTGTCGGAATACGGCCTCCCATGGTGTGATACTCCCGCTGTTGATTCCTATCTACTTCCTTGGCCGTTCAAGTTCAATTTCAATTTTCCTGTTGTGCTTTTAGATATCCGCAGAGGGTGTCTCAACACATACCCACAAGAAGACCTCCTGAAGTTGAGAGTCGGCACACATCGTTATTCCCTGGGAGCGGAGAGAGTGTGGCTGAGCGTGACGTCATGGGCATTCGGGTCTGAGCAGGGACAGAAGCTCTGGATGATATATTTATTACACTACCATCTCCTTGCATATTCCTCCGATGGCATCTGGCTCCAATCTGGAAAGAGATCGCACAGGAAGAGGACTGGATTTACTGTGTGTGGGACCTCTCCACGTTGCATCCTCATAATCTCCTTCCCTGTGGCCAGGTTCGTGCTGTAGAGTGGTGTGGTGCTGCTGATGAAGATCTCCGAGGGCAACGTTCCCCGTCTCCATGCATGGATCGAAAGGTGGCGCGGAGGAGACCCATGCCGATATCTCATGATACCGAATGAGAGATGGGCGGTGGCCATGGCTGATACGGGATGAATTGAGACAGTCAGCGAGCACTCGAGAACTAACTTGGCTGCAGGTCATTGTTGTTTGGTTGGGGGGGGGGGGGGTTTGGTTGTCAAAGGAGGACTCAACAACAATACAATAGCTACCCTCAATGTCCAGAGGCAGAGGATCTGCAGCTGGCCATCAGCAGCGGAAAGCGTCTTCTTTCTTCTCGGCCTTTGGCATGCCCATCTTTAATTTAAATCGACGGAGGAGCTGTGCTTCACTGCTCGCTCAACATGATGATGAAGTCTTCCAACTTCCCCACACTTCGGCCCAACCGATCGGCTGACTCAGCCACTCACCCCTCGATTTCGGCATCTTCAACCCCCGTCGTCAACGATCCCCAGTCGAACATTCAACTCGCTTGGACTTAAATCTCCTGCCACACGCTCTTGAGTCCTCTCCAGGCTTGGTCAACCCCCCAAAAAACATAGGAAACCGGAGAAATACCAATCGTTTGATTCGACTCGTCGTCCTCGTTCTCCTGGGTTAAATATATATATATATATATATATAATCTGTATCCCTTATAGAGCGCAGGCAAAACAACTGGATTGCTAGACTGCACGGTGGCACAGCACGTACATAAAATGTGTGGAACCCACCGGCGAATCAAGTCTGCTATTCCGATTCCGTGCCCTGCAACCGCGTAGATTGCTAACATGCGGTGTTTCATGAACACATAGGGTTTACACGGCGTCATTTGCTTTCTTCGAGGCGCTCTGGGAGGTTGGTTGTTGCACCCCACACCCCACACCCCACACCCCACACCCCCCCCTTACAACAAGCTCCTTGTCAAGCCAAAGCTTTTAAAAATATTGATGTTTAATCTCTCTCGGCAGGCGGGGGTCAGCCATGTCTTTGTCAACCTGGGGTCAGACCACCCCTCTATCCTAGAAGCGATCGTCAAAGGCCAGAGAGAGAAAAGAGGGGCTTTCCCCACAATCATCACCTGTCCCAATGAGGTACGTCTGTCGCACAGCGCCGCGACTGACTCCCTGCCTGCCTGCTAACCCCGTGCTGCCCGTGCTGTAGATGGTCGCTCTGTCCATGGCCGACGGATACGCCCGGCTTACCGGTAAGCCCCAGTGTGTCATCGTGCATGTCGATGTCGGCACTCAGGGGTTGGGCGCTGCCGTTCATAACGCCTCGTGCGGTCGGGCCCCGGTGCTGATCTTTGCGGGCCTGTCCCCCTTTACCCTTGAGGGGGAGATGCGGGGTTCCCGTACGGAATACATCCATTGGATCCAGGATGTTCCCGACCAGAAGCAAATCGTCTCTCAGTACTGCCGATATTCTGGAGAGTTCAAGACGGGAAGGAATGTTAAGCAGATCGTCAACAGAGCTCTGCAGTTTGCAACCAGTCATCCGCAGGGTCCTGTATATCTAGTGGGCGCCAGAGAGGTCCTGGAGGAAGAGATTCAGCCCTACACTATCAACCAAAATACGTGGAGAGCCGTGGAGCCCACAGCATTGCCTCGGGATGGCGTCAGGCAAATCGCGGAGGCCCTGGTGTCTGCCAGACAACCGCTGGTAATTACAGGCTACAGCGGACGAAATGCATCCGCAGTAACAGAGCTCGTCACCCTCGCGGACACGGTCCATGGCCTCCAGGTCATTGACTGCGGCGGAAGCGACATGTGTTTCCCAGCCAACCACCCAGCATACCTGGGGCTTCGCTATGGAGTCCATGACAAAATCAAAACCGCAGACGTCATTCTCGTCATCGATTGCGATGTCCCCTGGATCCCCACCCTTTGCAAGCCCTCTGACTCTGCCAAGATTTTCCACGTCGATGTCGATCCCCTGAAGCAGCAAATGCCTGTCTTCTACATCCCAGCCCTGGCCACCTATCGTGCTGATTCCTCCACTTCCCTGCACCAGCTCAACCAGTACATCTCCAGCAACAACTCCCACGCCCAGACCCTTAGAAGCCAAGAATACACTTCCCGCCGTGCCGCCATTGAAGACGCCCACAAGGCCCATCTCCACTCCCTCGCAACCCAAGCCGCCACACCGACCGGCGGGCCAAGCGCCTCCTTAAACGCAGCGTACCTGATCTCCCAAATCCGCTCCGCCTGCCCCGCAGACACTATCTGGTGCATCGAAGCCGTCACCCTCACCGGCTTCGTCGCAGAGCACATCCAACCCACCCTTCCAAACTCCTGGATAAACTGCGGCGGCGGCGGTCTCGGCTGGTCCGGCGGCGCCGCGCTGGGCATCAAGCTAGCCTCCGACGACCAGCACGGCGGAGCCGGAAAGGGCAAGTTCGTCTGCCAAATCGTCGGCGACGGCACGTACCTGTTCAGCGTGCCGGGATCCGTGTACTGGATTGCGCGCCGCTACAACATCCCCGTGCTCACCATTGTGTTGAATAATAAGGGCTGGAATGCGCCGCGGCGGAGCATGTTGCTTGTGCATCCGGATGGGGATGCGTCGCGGGCGACGAATGAGGAGCTGAATATTTCGTTTGTGCCGACGCCGGATTATGCGGGCATTGCGAAAGGCGGCGGCTGGCGGGGAGTTGTGGGCTGGATGTGCCGGGTCGGTGGGGGAGTTGGCGGAGTTGTTGCCCAAGGCCGTTGAGAGTGTGAAGTGGGGGAAGGGGGCGGTGTTGGAGGCGCAGTTGGAGGGGAAGGAGGGTAAATATGTTCCTGATAGGAGTAAATGAGAGGGGCAGGGTGGGAGTGGATTGCCCCCCGGGGGGAGGGGGGGGCCTTACGGCGTTTTGTTTTTGGGTTTTACCTTAAACGTTGATAAGACGACAGAATGAATATATGTTGTTTCTTCTCTCCATGCACGGATAATGTACTTACATGTCCATAGATCGATCGATGGTGAAACTTGTACACTAGTGGCTGTCGATCCTATTACTTATTTCATACGGTTTGAAACAGCCGATAGTCCAATGAGCCGGGCTCATACGTCAAACCGCCTAATCCAGCCATCCAGCCCCTAAATAGCAGTTTATCAGTGCATATATATACATGTTCATACCAAATCCAAATAAGCAATGTCACCATTTCCATCAGAAATAAATAAAACAAAGAAGAAGAAAAAAAAAAAAAAAAAAAAAAACCCATTCCAATCCATATGTCCCATAACCGCCCACACAAAAGAAACCAACAAAACGAAAGAGCTAAAAGAATGTACCACTACTCCATCCCTCCTCACATTCTCTAATCTATGATCGAAAACAGGTAGCTGCTAAGCCTCAACATTCCCCCGCCCATCGCCCTTCGCTCCTTTTTCTTCCCCCCTCTCAACGGAGAACAGGCATGACGCCAGCACCCCCAGCGTTCCCTATCCTACTCTCTCCTTAGCCGTGCCACTGGGCGAGGGCGGTTTCGGCAACGGTTTCGATCTCCAACCCAAATGTAAAGGGTGTTGCGCGAGACGGCATTGCTGCTGCTGCTGCTGCTGCTGTTGTTGTTGCTGTTGCAGTCCCACATGTATTCTTCCGGCGTCTCCTTCAAAGTATCGCGCTCTGCGCTTCTTTGAGAATTCCTGTGTGGAAGTGCGGGTTAGCGATGTAGGTTGCGCTGTGGGGCTTCTGGCCAAGCTGGTTCCTTTTATGTGAGAGTAGAGGGGAAATATAGTTACCTCGCTCGCCGACCGTGATGATAATGCACGGTTTGAGTTCTGGGGAAATCTTTTGGTCAGCAATGACGTTCTCAAACCACACTATCCTTACGCCCTGCCTATTGGATCCCATTTTGTTAATGCTTCGATCGCAACTTACAGTCTTATTATGATTATAGCCATTGTGTATACAATTGCTGTGTGGCACGCATACCACTGGTTTTGGTTTTTGTATCTGCGGAAATAAGTCAGATATCTAATGAAACATGGGCGTGTTGATATAGATAAAAAGCCGGCAATAAGCCCAGAGAGGGGGCTCTTTTTACGTTTGTTATATATTTCTCATCATCGCCACTTCGCCTTCGCTCTCTCTGCATGAACGAATTGCTGTTAGCTAGATAATGCTATAGGGACATCACCCTGTCTCTCGACGATTTCATGATTCCTTTTCTCAACTGGGAACGAAGGGACGTACCCTCCTCTGCGAATCGCTCCCGACAGGTTTCCGCTTTATTGGCGGCGCCCGTGCCCGGGACCGATCAGAGAAAAACACAGATTCTATAGATTCGGAAAATGTGGGATATTCGATAACTTGTATCACTTCTTTGGGCGTCTTGTGTGAGTATGCATTTCTTCGGATTTCCTGCGAAATATCCAAACAAGAAGCAAAGGCCTTGCGTTAGCCTCTTTCGCAGAAAGGGTCGGTTTTGATGAGGGCAGTTTTTCCAAATATACATCATACCTCGTCTGGTGAGTCATGTACCGTTCGAGGTTCGGGTCGAGGATACTCCTGAAAAGATGAAGCTCTGTCAGCTTGTCATCGATGGGAAGAGCAGAGCAGTAGTTGTGGTGGAGGAAAGTAGTCTTTCCTAACCTCAGCCATTAATTCGGAGCAATAAGCCCTCTCTGGTTGTTGTATTATCGGCTACATATATATGTTAGTGATGCGGACGTCCTCGCGCTGTCTGGCCCTTTAGGGGAAAATAATAATAATAATAATACTCACTTGGTAAGTCCCGCTGTGCCTTTGGGACCATCTTGTACATCCTTGCGGCTACAGTAATCATCCTGTTACCTATAGTTCCACGAAGGCAAGACAATTTATACCCAGGATTCCAGACACAGGGGCCCGCCAGCGCTTACCACAGCCCTTCCATCCTTCTCGAGAACGTGTTTTCGTCGACGTTTGTCACGTAGCCGTTTCCGAAAGGTGGTGAATGTCGACATTCCCTTTAGATTGGATAAAAGGCTTAGAAAGTAGAGCAAGGATATGATTGCCAATATATACCAAGCCTTCGGCTTACCTCCATAAGCGAAGCTCCAATTCGAGGAGTTTCTCTCTGTTGCAGGACCAGACAGATATGCTTGAGTCGAAATCTGCCATAAACCGCAAGGATTCCCCCCGCAATTCCCATGATCAGGTAGGCAGTTCCAAACACTGGGTGTTTGATATAGGGTGACGGCACGAAATACCCTGGAAGCAATGCAGTAAACGCCAGACCTCCAACTCGGCCCATAATCGCAACCAGCACAACAGAAGTTATAAGAATTTCCGACGAGTACAGGCAAAACGGTGTCGCCATGAAAATGAATAGCATAGTTGCCGGTAGCCACGCTTGGATTTTCGTCACAGTCGAAGACATTAAGATAACCCCGGTACAGGAGCCGATCAGAAGGATAAAGACAGCTCCGCCCATAAAAATATGCTGTCTCGGGCGTTTTATGGTATACGAGGAACCGACAATCCAAATACCGATCAGCGAAACTTGAAGGCTCGGAAACGCCCATAGTGCCGTGTTGAATAACATATCCGAACCCTTGATGAACAATTGGGAGAGCGTCAAAACCGTCGCAGTGACGCTTAGCGAGTCCGTCACCACTATCCTCATAACCTCCGCATCGGTCATACTTTCAATGAGTCCTTCATCGCGGCCGCCGAAATAGTAGAGCTTAGGCCAGCGAGCGCGATCGCTTGTATGATAAATTGCAAATGCCGCGGCGACGGAAGGCATGTAAAGTCGAACACATTCCCAGGTAATCGCGTCGATGTATGCGCGAAAACCCCGCTGCCATATCAGAGGTATGTCCCAGATCCACCAGAAGGTATTGACTGAAATGACAGTTGTTATGAAACCGCCCCAATCGAGGGGTTCGGGGAAGCGATTCATTGGGAATGTGTCGGTTGAGCGACGAGAGCTCTTTGTTGTCGAATCCCTAGATCCTATTGTTCGATGCCATTGGAAATGTCGGGTTGCCAAAAGTCCCCAGAAAAGGGTATATTATTGATCGAGACACCTCTCCCGCACGAAAACCTCCTTCCAAAGAATCCAAAGAACGTGATCGTTAAAACGTCCTGTTTCAGTCTTCGTTCCCTTCAATTGGTCCTGGGGAAAAGTAATAGTGGGCACTCCCGTAGGAAATGGCATGATGGAGAGGATATGCAGGTACGGAGGTGAGAAGAAACGCCCCCTCATCCCCTAGACCGCGCCTCCATGAGCAGTCGTAATTCACCCCAAATACGTGGGCTTGCCCGATTTTGTGCAGCTTGACGAGTTCCCATATCCCGCTGTCCGTGTCACCCTGCACTGGCTCTGTGGCTGCTTCTGTGCATCGGAGACCGGTTGAAAATACCCCCCATCCCCAAAAGGGACTGAAAATCTTATTTCCTGTGCAGGAGATCCACGCCCGGTGGCTTGGGAACATGAACAAGAGCCAAGTCCGATGGCTCGCCCTTGAGCACACCGTTATTACGCGCTGGTATGCCCTGGTATTTTTGTTAGGTGCAACTTTTCAAGACTTTGAAGAACATGGAATAACCCCTATGCAATGGCCAGCATATTCCCCCGATCTAAACTCAATCGCAGCTGTATTGAAACCTTATGAAGAGGAGGAAAAATCTCTCTTATGACAATCTTTATACGGTGGTTATTCAGGCTTGGGAGGCTATAACAGAGAATCAATATGAGAGCTTATAGAGGCAGGAGATGAACATACAACAGCCCAGAGATTTCTTTCTACACTATTCTGAGGATATTGCATATAAATTTATACGGTTAACCCTGCCTGCACCGAATATAGGCGTGTCCACCCAAAATTTTTGGTTAGGCCCCTAACATATTGGGAGGGCGCTATTAACCAAAAAATACCGGGGCATACTCCGTACCTGTGCAGTTAATCCGCCGCGACGGTATCCACCATGGAGAGAAATCTCTGTTTCTGGGAAGCGGAACGCCGATGCATAGCACATCTACCTTAATCAAGCGGAGAACGCTCCATCAAACGTGAAGATATTGTCGTTGAGGTGTCAGTAGCCTGCGCCCAATGGTTCATCCAAGTGAAGTGCGGGATCACTGAGGGGGGAGATGCGGAGCAACAAAGAAACGAAACAGCAGAAACAAAGAGAGAGAAAAAAAAAAAAAAAAAAAAAAAAAAAGGAGTGGGAGGAACACTTTCTACCAAACAGTTAGTTCCCAATGCCACAGGCAGGCGTTGGGCCATGGAGGGCAGGATCTCGATGTTGGTTTGAAGATTCAGGCAGCAAACGTAAACTCAATTGGGATGGCCTTTAGGCTGTTTTCAACATTGTCCTGCGTCCGCATCTCTAGTTGTCTTCAATTTTGGTCAAGAGGTCAACGAGTCAACGTAATTGGAGGGGATATATGATCGACACTCCGAATATTGATGTCGGGCGAAATAACTCCAAGTCCAGACAACTGAGCTGAAATATTCCTCTGTTACCTCTGCCCATTATTATTCTCCAAGTTGCGCAGTAAATAAAAGCAGGTCCCCCAGGTCATCAGCCCCTGAAATTGTAACGTGAGAAACCTGGGTCTGTACACAACCCCCAGTTTCCAATCTTTGACATCACCATTTTACACACGCTTTGGAATTGACACCTGCTTCAAAAAAAAAAAAAACCTTGTAAACTGTTCGGCTGGTAGCCTTCCATCCAGGGATCTCGAAATTCTATTGTGCCGTTATCCGCTTCCATCAATTGAATGGTACGCGTTTCCAAGATCAGAGCATGGCAAGGTGCCAGTGTAAGAACTCAGTGTCGCCATATTTGGGACATGCAGAGGGGGCCAATCGACAGATCACAAATTGCTGCTGTACAGGTAATATAACTGGTGGTACCTGCTTCGGCGGGGATGTGAAACGGCACGGGGAGTTTCGTCCAACGCAAAATCTGCCCACGGCAGAGCGCTTAGAGGTGTAAAGCACATGCAATAATTTCATGCTCTCCAGACGGATTAGGATTGAAAACTGGGCAGGATCGGCGCTGCTTGTTTGTTGCCGTGGATAAAAGGAGGACAAGCTGCCTCCTCTTGGAAAGATTTCCGAAGACTGTGATTCTGAGAAGTAGCCAAAAATATTCATCTATATGATTGGAAGTCTTTCAAGGAATAGTTACTCTGAATCCCACCTTGGGATCTTGAAAATAATAATAATAATAATAATAATAATAATAAATGGAGTTAAAAATTGAACAAGGTGATAGAACCCTCCCTAAAAGGGCATATGATGAAGAGACGAGAGGCAGGCAATGGGCCATGGCTACCCAAAAACAAAGCGCGTCCAATTTTCACCAAGGATGCGAATCCCATATTCCAAATCCCACCCACGGATCGAACACACCTGCCGCACAATAGCCTCCATCAACTCATCCATCCGTTTTCCAGCACAATGTAGATCACTCTCGACAAGTATCCTATCCTCCGGAAGCGCCTTGATAACCTCGACGGTCTTCTCCGACGAACCTCCCGCAAAGTTGATAACACTCGAGAAAGAAAAATACGTCTCGGCCGGGTTCGATTTTTGCAGGAACTGCTTCAGCACGTCTGGCGGGCCGGAGTAGGAATGCATGCAGATCCTCAGCGGAAACGGGAGGGATGATGCAGCAGGCGTTTGCGGGTCGTTTTCATTCTCTCTGTCTTTTTCATGATCGCTATGTTCGTGCGCTTTGTCCGCGCTTGGCCGCCTCTTTCTCTGCCGATTAGAGACGCGCTTCCTCTCATGGCCCGACCAGAGTTCCTGAAGGACTTCGAGGACGGCGCCATGTGCCTGGACGCTATGGACGGATACAGGCCGCTGCATGGAGCCTGCGAGCCGAAGCTGGGCTTTGAAGATTTCCCGTTGATGTGCCAGCGCGACACGGTGCGGGGACAAACTTCTCCCCTCCCGCGAGCCAGGGGTCAGGCTGGCATCTCTCTTTTCAAGCTCATGGGGGAGCCAAGCATTGGGGATGCGGAATGAGCGGTCAAGACCGATTTCTCCAACCAGCCCGTGAGGGTGTTGGTGGAGTCGAGCTTTGGTGTCTGCAATCAGTTTGGATAACGGGAATGGTTCTGGGAGCGCATGCAACAGGCCTTCATCCTTGGTTGGCGGGGTGAGGACGCCTTTGTAATGCTCCACTTTGGAAAAAGGTGTGTCATGGCGTGTTTCTGAATTGATGTCGTCGATTATTTGGTGGGAGAACCAGGGATGCCAGCCAAATGATGGGATGATTCTGGGCTTCCTCTGGTCGACTGAGTCCGAGTCCGAGTCCGAGTGTGCGGCCGGAGCATACGTCGATGCAGCCTGGGCAACAAGCTCCTGATCCTGGCCGCGAGTAGCCATGAGCGTCAGGGCTGCCGTCTTCATCCGGACAACCTCACCGATTGATGCCATGGTGTCTGTTGCATGGCAATGGGCATCATACACCCCCAGGTGCCAGGGAAAGGGGATGTCCATGGTCGTCGGTCCTGATACACAGGCAGATCAAGGAAATTTCACCGGGAGGAAAAAGCAAAACTGGCCCCTTCTCAGCGGGCATTTCCAGGAGCACAGAGCAAGCGAGGCATTCATTCACGCAGAAAGATACGTCTATCGATACCCCTACCCCAACTTCTGCAGTCGAGGAGGTGGGCGGTTTGCTGGAGGTTCGACTGACCCGTCCGTTGTTTGCTGCTGGCTGGAGAAACCGGGCGTCGCTTAGTTACGTCAGCGCCAGATCTGCCCCCCGCAACCGCCCTGAAGCAGCAGCTGTGCAAAATCATCGAGTATTCAACTCGTCGGCCCATGTCCAACTGTTCTATTACTGCTGCTGCTGCTGCTATTATTGCTGTTTGATTGCTATTGTTTCCTCTTTAACACACTGAGGAAGAGGGCTAGACGTTCTCGTAGCAGAAAAATGTCAACCGCCAAAAGAAGGGGAAAATCTACGTTGTTCGACAAACCATATGCACAGCTGTAACTCCATCAAAACAGATACTTGCACGGCGTATCCCATTGACGTATCCCCAGAAATCAAACAGACGACAATAAACATGCAGAAAAAGTAAAAAAAAAAAAAAAAAAAAAAAAAAAAAAAAAAAAAAAAAAAAAAAAAAAAAAAGAAAAGAAGAAAGGAAGAAGGAAAAAAAAAAAAAAAAAAAAAAAAGGTACCCAACCCATATATTACCATAAAACACCGCAGCATAACATAGGAAAAATCCCACAACCCACACCCAGTTCTTACCTCCTCTCCCCTTTCTCCTCCTGCTCAACCCCCCTCATCTCCCCCAACATAACCTCGTTAAACTCCTCCCACCCATCCAAATACAAATGATGCCCGGCATTCCTGATAATCACAACCCTCGCCGCCCCCCTATCCCTCGCCCTCTCCTCCGGCGTCGCATTCGCCAACACCCGCCTCTTCTCCTCCTCAATCCGCGCCTGCGCCGCATACCCCCCCGCCACATCCATCCAGTCATGCTCGCCATACATGAACGTGATGGGGAGCCCTGGCTCGCGGATTGCCGTTCCTGAAAACGCAGACGTTGGCGTCGGCGTCGGCGTTGATACAGATGTTGACGACGTCGCTGCGGACACCGTCGAACCAGCTGTTTCGCCAAGCACCTGCCTCCCGACTCCATGGATTCTTCTAATAAGCGGGCTGCGCGCGAACGCCCCGGGCGCCAGGATATAGGCGAGCGCGTACTCGCCGCTCCCGCGCATGCGGAAGAGGGAGTAGGCGTAGTCGTGCAGAGCCTGGGCCTCGGCGGGGGGCAGGTGGGAGAAGCGGCGGGATGTCCAGCCGGAGACGAGGCGGGGGCCGAGCGGGCCGGACCAGCGAACCAGGCTGAAGGGGGAGACATTGGCGTCCCAGAGGTATTTGAGCCATTTGGGGAGGGGGCGGCGGGGGGCGGGCTTGGAGGAGTCTGTTGTGGGTTTTTTGGCATTGAGGAAGTTGTTGTTGTCGGATTCGGATGCGGATGCGGATGCGGATGCGGATTCGGATGCGGATTTTGAGAGCGAAGGTTTGGTGGGGTCGTTCTGATCCTGGGTGAACTCGTTGGCAAGGGTGGAGTCGGTTGGTTCGGGCATGTTGGCGCTGACGGCGTAGGGGTCCTCGGGGATCCCGACGGGGGAGGCGAGGATGAGCTTGTTGAGGCGGCCGGGGTATTTGAGGGCGTATGCGACGGCCATGTAGCCGCCCAGACTGTGACCCAGGAGCGTGAATCGTTCTATCTTGCGCTTAACGCGCCATTCCTCCAGGGCGTCAATGAACCAATCCTCCGCCTCGCGGATGGCTTCCTGGCGTTGCTTGGAGTGTATCTTAAAGGGCGGGCGTGTACTCCGGCCCATCCCCAGCATGTCGAGGGCGTATAATTGCCACCCCTTGGCGCGACTAAGAGCTTCGAAGTTCTTGTAGAAGAAGCCCAGACCGGCGCCGTAGCCGTGGAGGACGACGAGGTTGTGCTCGACTTTCTCGCCGACGCGCTCGATGGAGAATTCGTTGAGGGCGCGGTTGCTGCCAGATAGTTCGACCATGGTGGAGCGCCAGGTGCGGGGGCCATGGGGGTCGTTGATGGATTTGGCGGAGACCTGAGCGGCCTGGCTGGGGTCTGCGGAGGTGAGGCTGTCGGTCGATTCGCTCGGGGTCAAAGCGTCTTTTCCGGTCTGCTTGTGGGTTGGGGGATGCTGGAGGTATGGGACGAAAGAGAGGACTTTGTGTTCAGCGGCTGCAGCGGGGATGCTGGACCACTGTAAATAGATATTAGTATCAATCCCCCCGCGCAAATATATATATATATGTATATGTGTATATGTATATGAATAGAAGCTAGAAACGAGTTTACATACCCATTGGCTGAATCCCTCCTTGTAGCCCAACGGGAAGAGAGGAGAAGTAATCCGATCAGGTATTTTCCCCCGTGGCTCCTCTGGCAGTTTATCGCGGGCCGGCAGGTCTTCGGGGGAACCCGAGGCCGTGGATGCCGTCGCAGCCATGACGGGCTGGAAGTGTGGCGATGGCAATGACGAGGCCTGGGGGTCGGTCGGGGAGTGAACGAGGGTGGACTCGAAATGGCCGTGGAAAGTTGGCAGATGAGGAAGATTCAGCGGCGACAGTGAAAGGGCGGAGGAGGACGGGTCACCAGCAGCACCACCAGCACCACCAGCAGTAGTTATCGCACCACAAGCAGGCCTTGGTCTGGGTCGGGCCAGGTGCAGGAGGGGGATGGCGGAGAGGCGAGTTTGCGGATGCACTTTGAACGATGGATGGAAGCGAGCGACAGAGGAGGTCTGCCACTCGAGAGCGACAAGGGCATTAAGCGGTATATATATATATACTATATGGATGTATATGGATGTATATGGATGTAAATAGAAATATGCAACGCGGAGAGTCTCGAGATGCGATGGGGATAAGAGCCGGAGTTTGTGGGCGCGGGGGGGGGTGAAAAGACCGTCGATCGAAGGCAGCAGGATTCTGCAGGGAGCTGCTGCTGCACAGGCCGGATGCGGGCGGAAACAAGGGCCGAACCCAGCGGCAGGTATATATATTCAGAGGCGGATGGCAATTGCGAAGGGAAGAACCCGTCACGAAGAGGCTGGATCTGCGATTGAATAGGTGGCGTTCATGGTTCATGGGATGGAGCTGACTGGAAGTTGTCGTGATGGTAAATCAGAGCGGGCGGGCGTTGAACGAACGACGGATGCAGCAGCTGGGACGAGGAGGCGGAGTTGGACACGCCAACTTTCAAGAGACCGGCACGCAGCAGCAGCAGACGACGACGACGACGAGGATGAGAACGAGGCAGCTCTTCTTGTGGTGTCTGCAGCCGCCTTCTCTCCGCATTGAATTGAGATCCTGTTGTTGTTTTACGATGGTCACCCGGTGCTGTCTACGAAGCCATACACATGTATGTAAGTGAGTATCTCTCAGCAGTGGATGGACGAATGCTGCCCCGCTGCAGACGATGAGAGCATCCGGATCTACTCTTCCCTCCCTGAATTCCCCCTCCTATCACTGCATATGCGTGTTGTCTGGGTCTACGCCGTGAGTTGATCGCCGGTTTGTCTGTGGTGGGAGACAGCGGCTGGTCATGTGTTCCAGCCTCGACACATAAATACCACATCCAGAGAGATATCGATCTTTTTTTCGATCTTCTTCTCGATCTTCTTTTCTATCTTCCTCCTCCTCCCAACGCACCAGCAGCTGATTGCTGCATGCTCCCTACCCACCCTCGCGACGGGCTACACTATGCCTCCTCTCTCTCTCCCCTAGCCCCAACAATGTCATCCCGCCTTGACCAGATCGTCAAAGGCGCCCCCTCCCCGCGTCTCTCCCCCGTGGCCTCCCTTCCCGGCTCTACACCCCCCTCTCCCCCGCTCGAGCCGTCTCTCCTCCCCTATAACCAGCAACAGCACTCCCCATCGCCATCCCCGTCGCTATCCCCGTCGCCGTCGCCATCCATATATCCCCAACCCTCGCCGCAGGAAAACACCGCCTTCCCACTCCCCACCGCAACCCCCCCAGCAGACCCCCTCTCCACCCTCCCCTCTTCCCCCCCCCAGATCTACCTCAACCTCCTAATCCTCGAATCCTCTCTGCGCTCGCAGTACCTTGCTCTCCGCGCCCGCCGCCGCCAAAACACCTTCTTCCTCCTCCTGCTCGCCTGCTGGGTCACCTACTTCGCCTACGCCCTCTTCCTCCGCCCGCGCGAAGATGGCCGTGGCGTCGGCGGCTCCGTCTACTGGGTCGTCGAGATGGCTGAGAAGGTCGCCCTGATGGGTGGCGTGGTCACCGGCGTGCTTATCTGGGGCACGGGCCAGTGGGAGAGGGGCGTTCGGTGGCCGAGGAGGTGGTTGGTCGTTGCGAATCGTGGGTTGAGGGCGATGAATACGAAGATTGTGGTGTTAAGGGGCCCGTGGTGGGTGGAGGTCTGGTCGTGGGTGGGGTTTTTGTTTCCGTTCCCTCTGCTGACCGGCTTGGGGGGCGTGGTTCAGTATGTGGAGTCTACGACTACGGCATTTGGTGGTGGTGGTGGTGGTGGTGGTGGTGGTGGTGAGAGAGAGAAAGGGAAAAGATCCCGTGCAACCCTCTCAGCTGCACACCCCCAGCAGCAGCAGAGCTCCTCATATTACTCCTCCTACGCGGACGAACCCTTCCTAACCACACATGGCGAAACACCACCCCTCCCGCCCGGCACCACCCTCGTCGAAGAAGACATCAACCCCGGCGGCGACCACATCAAACTCCTCCTGCTCCCCAAATCCTTCTCTCCCGCCTTCCGCGAGAACTGGGACGAATACCGCACTGATTACTGGGAGAAGGAGAATGAACGGCGCGCTCTGCTGAGGCGGAAACTGAAGGAGCAGCGGCGCGAGAGGGCGCGGCTGCAAGGGGGCTGGCTGTGGTGGATCAGGTGGTTGTGGGGCGCGAAGGGGGTGCGCGGGGGTGGTGGCAGGAGGCTGGTCACTCCGTTGAGTGGTGGTGGGCAGCATCATCATCATCAGCATGGGCATGGCCATGGCCATTCGCATCATCATCATCATCATCATCATCATCATCATAGAGATTCCTCTATATCTACGGCTATAGCTACCTCCTCATCCTCATCTACGAAACGCCGCTCCCAACACCACTCCCTACACCAACATTCAGACCCAACCATGCCAACAACAGCACAATCGCACTCCCGCACCTCCTCGCGCAGCACGACGCCAAACCGCTTCTCGGACCATGACGACTTTTCCAATAACAACGGCAATGGCAATGGAAGCAATCATGAGCGCCACAGGCCGCGTAGGGGCAGTTCTGCAGCTTCAACGTCTGGCAATGAGCGGAAGAGGAGGAATAAGTCTGCTTCGTCTTTGTCGGATGGCGGTGGCGGTGGCGGTGGTGGAAGGAGGGCACCGTCGCCGTTGGCAAGGATTGAGGCGGAAGGGCTGGAATAGATTGATGGGGTAGCAAGATAGTCCATTGGGGGACTTTGTGATTCAGTTTGGCTGGCTCTGGCTGCTTTTGGTTGGGTCGGATTTTGTTTGGTGTTTAGGAATGCCATTTCTTTCTTTTTTCTCTTTTTTATTTTTTCTTTTTCTTTTTTTAAGCTTGAGTTTCCTCATTAGAATAGTTTTGAGTTGGCGTGGGGACGTTGGGGGTGGCAGATGAGGAAGAAGCATTAGAAACAAAACCCGTTTTAACTTCTTTTTCTTTTCTTTTCTTTTTCTTTTTTCTTTTTTTTTTTTACAATATTTAAGATGTCGGTTGAACGCTTGCTATATAAGAGTTTGATCTGTGAGCTTTTTCCTGTTGTTTGCACTATAAGGAGTAAGTGTGATGAGACTGAGATACAAAAGGATCTCATGCATTTGATAGAGCTGTAAAAAAAGGGGCATAAAAAGAGACGACAGAAACAAAGCGCCGAAAGGCTCATTTGAAGAAACGAGATTTCAATCTCCATCAAACATATGACGTTCCTCATAGGCTATCTAATATTTCAAACACTCGAAATGAAATGAGATATTAAGGGACGGAAAAAAAAAAAAAAAAAAAAAAAAAAAAAAAAAAAAAGGGCGAACCGGGAAATACATCCAATACAGAAACCTCTCTAGAAATCAAAATAGCATTCCATGGGAGAAAAGGGGAAGACAGGTTCCTTGCAAGTGCCCATAGAAACTAAACGCCTATATGATCATGGGGGAAAAGGAAGATATAAGAAAAAGAGGTGCTGAGGAATCAGTTGTAAAAAATAATATCATCTCATATCCGATAAACCGTTTCGTCACCAAGATACCTATAAAAATATATCGTTAGTCCACATCCAAAAAAAGAAAAAGAAAAGAAGAGAAAAGAAAACACCCACATAATCTCATTCCTCTCATTCATCACACCAAGCGCCTGCACCGCCTCCGCAAGCTCAAATCCCTTCCCTCCCGCCCCCTCAACAACCCCATTCACATTCCCAACCACCTCCCGCACACCAGCCGAATCACTCTCGAACAGCTCAGACCTCATCAGCTGGCCCAGCGCCTGTCTAAACGTCGCCAGACGAGCAGCTGATAACGGGGGCAGAGTTCTCGCAGCTTCAACGGCGGCTACGATAGAGTTGGCCCCGGGCTGCCCCTGCGTCTGAGATTGGCTGTCCGTTTGGGAATGGAGAAGCTGTGAGGCTGGCTGGGAGGAGGCGAAGGACATCTGGGATTCAGATTCGGTGGTGGTGCCGAGTTGGGTACCGTTTTGGCGGGAGGCGGGGAGGGTGCGGCGGGAGCTGGGGCTAGCGTCATATAAGCTGTCGTTGTCGTTGTCGTCATCGCCATTGTCGTGGTTGGTGGCTGTGGTTCCGTTTCGTGTGGTGGCGGTGCTGCCCCTGAGGCCTGGGCGGCGAGTTGAGCGTGGACCAGGAGCAGCTGGTGTTTGCTGGGTGTCCTCTGCGTCGGAGTCCGAATCAGCTGAGTCCGAGTCGGACTCCAGAGCAGCTGTTTTTCTCCGCTTGCGTCGCTCGTCCTCGACTACTTCTTTAAATAGAGCGAAGCGGAGGATTGACTCTGCTACTTTTGCATCTTTTTCTTCGACTCTACTTGACAGTCGGGCCTTGGCGTGCGCGGTGGAGAGACGGATGAGGGTTTCGAGAGTACGTGCGGTCATGGGTGAGGTCTTCCGCTGGTTTCCGGAGAGTTCGTCGTTTCGGAGGGAGGAGTAGGTCGCCACGATGTGATCTGCGGCTCCCTTGGTGAGCACGGGCTTGATTCTTGATTTAGCATACTGAATATATTTCTTAATGAATGGCATGCTGAGCACTTCGATTTTCTTGTTTGGTCCCCGACCAGTCGCGGACATGCCTGCATGGAGCATGACGTTGAACTTCTCATAAACCTCAGTCGGGCGGTTGGCGTCTTGATTCTCTTCCAATCCGATGCCAAGGGTGCTGTTAACCTGCTCACGAACCGGAGCACCTTCTTCTGTGCCGGGATGTCTGTACCGATGCATACGGAGAACATGTTCAGATACCATGCGGTCTCTAGCATCCTCGATATCATCTGTAACAACAAAGAGTAAATCAAAACGCGAGAGAAGGGAATCCGGCAAGGCAATATTCTTGTGGGGATCCTTATGTGTATCGTACTGTCCATAAATCGGATTTGCAGCTGCGATGACGCTACATCGGGCATTAAGCGTAGTATGGATTCCAGCTTTGGCGATCGTGACTGTTTGCTGTTCCATGACTTCGTGGATGGCCACTCGATCGATGTCACTCATTTTGTCGAACTCGTCTATACAGACAACACCCCGATCTCCCAGGACCATGGCACCAGCTTCCAACCGTCGTTCACCAGTTTCCTTGTCAGTAGTTACAGCTGCCGTAAGGCCAACTCCAGACGAGCCTCGA